ATGCTATTTGTTTCCATTAAGCCTAATAACCAGTTTTAGAGTGGATCATTTTTCTTAAGTTCGTTATACTTGCTAGGAATCAAGTGCGAAAGACATGAAGGTGTGGCAGACAGACCTAGAGCAATGAAGGCAATGCCTTGTTTTCCACACAAGTGAAGATCATTGAAGCAATGCATGCGTTGCAGAGTGGGATTCGAATAGGGAGGGTAGATAGTAGAAATTTGATAGGGTTGTGCAGTAACTCATGATAAGGGGTGAGAGAGCTCTACGTAGAATTTTGGCACTGAGGAATCATACTTCCCTCTCTTTTGAACCCTTAAGAAATGCCAACCACGGTGTTTTCTTCTTATCCCTCATTGAAACCCCAGTCTCCCACTTCTCAGCTCTTTTCCCAAATCATTCATAAATGTCTGGGACTCAGCCTAATCACTGTTCTTTAACACTTTTCCATGATGTAGCCTTTAAAAAAATGGCAAAACAAAAACATTGTCACCACATCTTCCAAATTCATTAGAAAAATTTTACATTCCATTCACACTCAATTATAATGAAAACTAAATTGTACATCAGAATGATTGTGCTGTAGGTCAGGATAGAGAGGCATTTGTAAATATGTTTTTTTCAATGTTATTTTTCATTCATTGTGTGTATCAAAGCATTATTACTGTGGGTCATTTGCTAGAATAGGGAAATCACTTCTTTATATAGAACTGTCTATTAATTTGCCATTTTGTACATTTGACATGTATAGCAGAGATCTTGATGTTGTTGTTGTTGTTGTTTTTTCTAAAGTATAACTGGTAACCAAAGTAAGGGATTTCCTGTTGTTTCTAGAATGATGGAGCATTTCATTACTTTGCTATTATAGAGCCCTTCAGTTTGAACCTAGCTAACAAGTCCAATCTGATGTCCCACTATTCTCCTTTATTCACCCGATTGCTTGTTTCGACTGCTTGCTTCTAGCCAGAAGAAGCGGTTTCCTTGAACTGCCTCCCAGTGTCTGGTCATGAGGTTCTTGAGGATAGAAATGTCATTCTGCTGGTCTCTGAATCCTCATTATCTGGCTGATTGCCTGACTTTGGCTTTAAGTAAATGAACATTGGCAAACTGAAAGTGTGTATACTTTACCTTTGTTTGTACCAGGCTCATTAGGTCTAAGTCCTGGAGGCTGTTACTAAGACCGATGTAGATTAGGTCTCCCAAGAACATGCAGTGCACTCCCCAGTTTTCTCTGAACTGTTAATAGCATCTTATCGAAAATTTTTATATATACTTAGCAGTTTACCATATATGATATAATTACTTTGATACGGGCCTTATCCCAGTTCTCCTGTAGGCTTTTGTGCCAGTTGGTTTTGGCTGCGAATGCTCTGCCATGTGTATTCTTGGACAGTCATCTGTGAAATGGGGACTGTGTTATCTATACCTTGGATGGTTACCAGGATCCAAGGAGAAAAGGTATATAAAGAGTAGTTGACACTCAGTAAGGAAAGAACAGAGAGCCTAACGTACATGTAAATATTCTGAGTCATCTCTCTCCTTGTCTGACTCTAAGCTAAGCTCCTTGAAGACAGCAGTTAATTATGTTTCCTTTTTACCTACCAACAGTGCCTAGCAAGTTCCTTAATCTTATTAGATGCCCAAATATGTGTTGACTGAATGAACAGAAATTCAGTCATTGTTAATAATGGTAATACTTATGGCTCCTTTATTTAAGATTCAGAATTTGATTAGTAAACATTGTAAGAATGAAAAGAGATACGAATCTTGGGTATGTGTGTTACTTACTTAATTGTTGGCTTTCATCTGAAGTTTACCTCTCCATCTCTGGATATTTATGGAAAGAGTATAATATACTGTAAATTATCCTGAAGCACTTCCCCACAAGTCTGGTTGTTGCATCAGGCATCCTGTCAGTGAAACAGAATTTGAAAGATTTTAGGAAAACTGTAAGTTACTTAAAAGTGGAGTTCAGATTTAAATTATATGAACTTATTTAGATTCTGACTCTGTGCTGAATTCAGTCATGTTATGAAAATAAAGATGTGTTGGACTCTTCCTGTGGACCATTTTCACTTTGAGAAATGTTTTAAATATGTGGAGTTGTTTACATTTAGAATTTGAAGGAACCTAGAGGATAAACCCCTAATGTTTTGCTCAATAATAAAAAGGTGTGATAATAAACACGTGGAAGTATAAATTTATTCATTTTTATAGTTGAAAGAAAATCTCTTTTTATAGTGGTGAAGTGGCTGGTGAGCGTTGGAAAATAAACTAAAGGGCAACCTTACCTCTAGGCTTCCCTCGGCGCTGTTGACAGTTTTTATGTTGTAAAAACCAGAGGAACAAAACCATACAATCAGAGCAGTGTTGCAAGAGACCGGCATTACGGCACTGGTTCTGAGTGGGTAGGGTCAGTGTGTTCACCTTGGGGAGTATGTTAGCTCCCTGGGTTTTGGGGTTTTCTTGTTTTTCTGCCTGTCTTTAACAGAATGTTTCCTCATCCACGCCGCCCCCCCGCCCCCCGCCCCGAAAGACTAAGAGTAAGCTCTAACTTAGGGCTGTAAGGTCGACAGCCTTCTTAGTTATGAAGAAACGTTCAGGTGGTCTTTAAGGTCACTTCTCACTCATTCTGAACTTTCCCCGAATGGCGGCTGGTGCTGTGTCTGTCACTCGGCTAGATGCTGGGGGATGCAACGATGGACGTGACTCTGTTATTCCTTGAAGCTCACAGGCCAGAGTAGCTTCTAAAATCAAGTCCCTTAGATGTCTGCTAGCACGAGAGATGTTAACAAATGTTCCATGATGAAAGGATTACATATTTCTTTAACTTCAGTACTAGTAAATGTTTCATCTCTCTGTTGTTGACAAGACCAAGAAGTCTTTCAATAAAGAAAAGAATTAAACTTTTTAGCCAGTATTTTCCCAGGCTGTTTAACCATCAGACCCTTTCTGTGTGTCACCGGTCTTAACGTTGCAAGGGCTGTAAATGCTCTGCAGCACACGGTTTGGGAGCCTGCCCTGAGATGGTTCTGGCCAGGTGGGTGCAGGGAGGGCTGCAGGGGCAGGGGGAGGGGGTTGCACATTCAACCGGGTCTGGAATGAGGAGTAGAAAGGGGAAGGGGAGGCCGCCCAGGGCTGGGCCAAAAGGACGGAAGGTACAAAAGCACGAATGTTTGACCTAGCGTGGGTGCGTGGTGTTTTTGAGGAGACCCCAAGTGGGAAAACCCAACCTACACCGGAGCCAGGAAGCTACCCCAGAGGAGGATTCAGGGCCCTTGGAATGCTTAAGAAGCTTTGAATAGCATGAGTGATACAAAGCTTATAGTAATCAGTTCCTGAATTTCGAAGCTGTGTAAGGTCTGTCGTGCTTATGCTGAAAGCCAGTTTTCTGTAGGGAGAAGAAAAATTCCAGATTTATCACAAACTAGCAAAAATATGAAATAAACTATTAGGGCTGAATCATCTATGTGCTACTGTTGAATTCTTATGGTTATTTAATGATAGTTTTTAAAAACTTTTGAGTCATCTGTGAACATTTAATACAGTACATTAGGAAGGATGAGGCAATTTTCCTTGTTGAAAGTTTCAAGTTAACTAATTTCTATTTTGGATTTTAACGTAGGAGAGTCATCACACAGACAGAACAATGTACTGTTGTTTTTATAATTTAGAATTTAAAGTTTAACTGAGCTTTTCCCCTACTATCATTAATGTGCATTTTATGTATTTATTTATTTATTTTTAGTTTTTGAGAGAGAGAGAGAGAGAGAGACAGAGTGCAAGTAGGGGAGGGGGAGAAAGAGAGAGGAAGACACAGAATTGGAAGCAGGCTCTGTGCTGACAGCTCAGAGCCTGATGTGGGTCTTGAACCCATGAACTGCGAGGTCATGACCTGAGCTAAAGTCGGATGCTTAACCGACTGAGGCATCCAGGCACCCTGATGTGCATTTTAAAATATTGGAAAGTACAGAGAAATAGAAAAAACAAAGTGATTTTGTGTCATAAAGAGACAAATGAACATGTTGGTATATTTTGCCAGACAAATTTGTTTTACTTATAATTCTGCTGAACACAGTGCTGCTACTTTACATTTCCCTATGTAAATTTTTTGCAGATACCACATTTAAAGACTGTAATTTTCCATTCAGTGGGTATGCCATTGTTTGTATTTTTTTCTAACCATATTTTTAGGTGGCTTGTATTTTCTTTATTAATGTTTTGTATGTATAGTTCCAGATTTGTAATGATTGAGTCAAAAAGTAGCAATCTGTTAAGGCTCTTGAAGTGTGCTTTCCAATTAAAAACAGTGCAGGTAATTTATAGTTCCACTGGGAATGTATTGAGGTATTTTTTTAAAAAACTTTTTTAACATTTACTTATTAATTGAGAGACAGAGGGAGACAGAGCATGAGCATGGGAGGGGCAGAGAGAGGAGGAGACACAGAATCTGAAACAGGCTCCAGGCTCTTAGCTGTTAGCACAGAGCCCGAGGCAGGGCTCGAACTCACAAACTGCGAGATCATAACCTGAGCCATCCAGGCACCCCTGAAGTATTTATTTCACTGGATATTGAGACCAGACATTAAAGACAAATAATAATAAAGCAACCTTTGTTGGTTCAATTGTTTAAAAATATGGACCATATCGTTTTGTTTATGGATTTAACGGTAAGCAGTGTTTTCAGTTAAATTATCCTTTTTAATTTTTTTTTTTCAACGTTTTTTTATTTATTTTTGGGACAGAGAGAGACAGAGCATGAACGGGGGAGGGGCAGAGAGAGAGGCAGACACAGAATCGGAAACAGGCTCCAGGCTCCGAGCCACCAGCCCAGAGCCCGACGCGGGGCTCGAACTCACGGATCGCGAGATCGTGACCTGGCTGAAGTCGGACGCTTAACCGACTGCGCCACCCAGGCGCCCCTAAATTATCCTTTTTAATACTTTGTGTAAACAAATGTAAGAATTTTCTCTTGATGTAAGCTCCTTTTTATCTTGGAGGTATCCGTCACGGATTGAAAAAATCGACTATGAGGAGGGCAAGATGTTGGTCCATTTTGAGCGTTGGAGTCATCGTTATGATGAGTGGATTTACTGGGATAGCAATAGGTTGAGACCCCTGGAGAGACCCGCATTAAGAAAAGAAGGGCTAAAAGATGAGGAAGATTTCTTTGTAAGTAGCAATCTTCTTCCCGTTTGCTAGATGTGTAATGACATATTCTAAAAGGAATTCTGTTAAATATTACAAAAGCTTGTTTTTATAAAGGAAATGCTTATTTATTATACATGGTATTGATCTTAAAAGTTGTTTAAAATAGGATTTCAAAGCTGGAGAAGAAGTTTTGGCTCGTTGGACAGACTGTCGCTATTACCCTGCGAAGATTGAAGCAATTAACAAAGAAGGTATGTATTTGAAATGATCTTAGATTTAAAATGGGATTGATAGTAAAATTTAACTGTTTCTAATTTTAATTCTTGTAATTGTCACCACTGTTACTTCTGTCTGTCTTATACTTAATGAATTGCCTGCTAATACTCTTTTCTGGGAGTATTTCATTGTTACATATCGTATAGAATAACATGATACATGATCTGCTTACCACCTAAATAAACTGTTTAAATTAGAAGTGTGAAAGTTGGTTAAAATTGTTCAGCTTTTAGTTGACAGGCTTATATTATGTGCATTTTATTTCTCCTTCTCTGTTTCCAGTTTGCCGGCCAAGTTATTTTTATGAGCAACTCATCCAGAGTGTTAGGGAAGGTTAAGGATACAGGAAAATTCAAGTCAGTTCAACTTGGAAATAAAATACAGTACAGTGTTTTTTCTGAGGAAAGAGTGTGGGAATTTATCAGTTTGAGGATTTCCTTTATTGCCTTTTTCCACTGCCCCTTTTTTCTTAGTTTCTGTGAATAATTGAAAGGGAAATTTCCCGATAGCCTTTGTGGCATCTAAACATTCATATTGAGCAGAAATTACTGAACTGACCAGTGATGTTGAAAATAACACAGGAATCGGGTGTGTTTGTGTGGCCAAGGCTAATAAATCTGTGGGGCGGATAATGTATTTAAGAAAACAGGACTTGAAGACTGAGGAATTTGGAAAGGCATGAGAATTAGTATTTAAATTAGTATTGGAACTATGCTTAACTATTTTATTTTTTAAATTTCTTGCTTAAAAATCTCATTTTAATAAGTTGTGAAATACTTGTAAGTATATTTCCAAGTCAAGAATACACCCATTTTCTGTAACAATTGTTTCTTAAACTTGACCACTCATCCGTTCTGTTTACTAAAGAAACACACATTGAGTGACAGCTTCTTTGCAAGAGAAGGATTTAAGTAAGGGGGCACTTTAAACCCGAAAGACAAACAGGTCAGCTAAAGAGGGAACGAAAGGCTTTTCTGACAAAAGAAATGAAATGGCATATTGCAGAAGAATAGAAGAGAGGCCCGCTGCTTTTTAGCAACTGCAAGACTTCGTTGTAACTGGAGTGAAGGAGTCCTTTGAAGGGAGTAGAATATCAGAAGAGCTGGGAGAGAGAAGCAGGGATCTGCGTATGGAATGTCTTGTAATCTTGCTACAGAATTTGACTTTTTTTGGAGGTGATGGGAAAGAAACGTGGAAGGGAGTTAAGCTGAGGATTTAAAGTAACAACAAACTTGAGAAAACATGGGAGGTAAGAGGAGACAAAAGAGGAAAACATTTAAAAAGAGACATATTAAAGAATGTTAGGTGTGAAAAAGCAAATCAGTGTTGTCTACCAAAAAATTATGATACAACTTTATAAAGCCCTATTCCAGTTTATTGTTTTAAGGAATTGAAATAACAGATATGGCTATGATTTTACCACCACCAGTCACCTTCCTCCTGCAGGAGTTGAGGGACGTCTCTGTTAGGTTTGCAGGTTACTTTTCCTTTCCTGGTATGCTTCACCTCACTGTGCACTTAGCTTCTTGAGAGCTCTGTTACGGAGCCCATGTTCCTGTGTCTAATACACACGGGCCCTCCAGGTTTATAGCATGTGGGCAGTCAGCAACAGGTTGTGGAAAGAAAGGAGGCAGTAACGGATCAATTCTTTGGGATAATTAATAGGATCCACCCAAAATAAAAGAAGATGATGCAAAATTAAACAACACTCTCCATTTTATATTTTTAAAGTTCATGTTTATTTATTTTGAGAGAGAGAGAGATTGAGAGAGAGGAAGTGGGGGAGGGACAGAGAGAGAAGGAGACAGAAATCCCAAGCAGGCTCTGCGCTGTCAGCACCGAGCCTGATGCGGGCTCGAATTCATGAACTGTGAGATCCTGACCTGAGCCTAAGTCGAGAATCGGACGTTGAACCGACTGAGCCACTCAGGCGCCCCAGCACTCTGTATTTTGATGAAGAGCCGTTTCTTTGAGTGTGGAGAGCTCTGAGATCTTGTCTCCGTGCTTATACTCCTTGGGAGTGTAGCATATACAAGTACACGTGTACACACACACGCAGTGCACTCAGAAGCAGAGCCGTCCTATTTTGTCCCATCCCATTTGTCCATGGGCATAGAGCACAGAAAATTAAGCTTGTATTCGTGGAAGAGTGGTGACGCTCACTGCAGGCTCTGCCGTTTTGGGAGCAGTTTGAGCGCACCCTTAGTGAAGTGTTAGCAGATACGATTTCTTTTTAAAATACCTCCACTAGATGGGGCGCCTGGGTGGCGCAGTCGGTTAAGCGTCCGACTTCAGCCAGGTCACGATCTCGCGGTCCGGGAGTTCGAGCCCCGCGTCGGGCTCTGGGCTGATGGCTCAGAGCCTGGAGCCTGTTTCCGATTCTGTGTCTCCCTCTCTCTCTGCCCCTCCCCCGTTCATGCTCTGTCTCTGTCTGTCCCAAAAATAAATAAACGTTGAAAAAAAAATAAAAAAAAATAAAATATCTCCACTAGAGGTCTTTATTTTGCGATTTCTGTATGTCCCACGTGACGGATGAGCCTGCCCACCATGTGCATTCTCTCCCCCCCCCCCCCCCCCCCCCCCCCCCCCCCCCGTCCCCGCCCCCGCCAAGGGAAGGCAAAGGCAAAGGCAAAGGAAGCCTTCAGGAGGCCTTCTGTTCACTGTAAGAGCTAAACAAAACCTGCAGTTACGAACGTTTACGTGTTTGTAATAAGTCTTAGAGGAGTTGAAGAGGAGGGGCGAATGTGTAAACCAGAGGGGACGGGGAAGTGTTCATGTCACGGGTGGGATTTGAAGAGCTGATCCTCGAAGAGTAGGCTGAGGGAGGAAAGGAGGAAGGCATCACAAGGGCGGCACCGGTGTGATCAGCAGCAGGGAGGGGTGAGTGCCCGGCTGGGGTGGCGTGGAACCTGCTCTCATCTGGAAGGCGGTTCCTGCGGGAGGAGTTCAGGCCATTGCAGGGTGGCGGTGGTCAGGTGTCAGGTGCACGTGGGGTTCGGTAGTCTCAACGCTTTCTCAGTGTCTTTACGTCCTGGTTACTCAGCTCATCAGTTTTTTTCAGTGACTTGGGTTTAGAGCCTATACGTGCAGCACTGTGAATTATGCTAATCACAGAAAATATGAAATGAAATGATGTTCACATTACAAAATTAAGGAAAATGTTTTGTAGATACATGTCTGGTTTGGTGCCAAGTTCAAAGCCAGTGATACCAATTATGACACTTACTGTTTTGACTTGTTTTGTAAAGGTCCAGTACATGTTTACTTAAAGGGGCTCTCAGCCATCATTTGTACAGGAAATGATAGAAAAACGTTGGAATTTCTTAAGTATAAAATCTACGTAATTTATGCTTTGTGGCAGTACTGACTTTTATTGACTTGAAAGCATGGACTCTGTGGCAAAACCTGAATATACCTTGTGGTTGTCATTAAGGCAGGGTGTTGAGTCCTGAAGGCAGGTTGAGTTAGTGGGAAAGGCCTCGGGATGGGGGGTTGGTTACAGCTGTGCTGCTGTTCGGCTGACTGCTGTGGGTGCAGTGTTCAGCCTCCCTGGAAATCAGTGTTCTGATCGGCACAGGAACACTTTCATGTAGATGGTCTGTAAAGTATTTTCTGCTTAAAAGCCTGTGGATCTAATTCTTACTTACCAGTTCACTAATACGGTGAAAGGAATAATCTTTTCCTGAATAAATGATTTTCCCCCATATCAGTTCTTTCTCTCTGTTACTTGGAAAGAAACTTCCAAAGAGAGCAAATGATAATTCTTATAGAAATATTATATATGTTTGTAAGTAATGATCTTATTAGAAGGGAAGAGAAAATAAACTTCTCCAACTTCCTGCAGTTCTTAACGGGTGTGTGTGTGCAGTTACTGCGATCAGAGTGTGTTTCTTTCTGTTAGGGCGTTACTTGTTAGGTTTCAAGTGTTGCTATAAGATTCAGTTGTATTTTCTAATGATTCTGACTTGCTCCTGTTTTAGGAACATTCACAGTTCAGTTTTACGATGGAGTAATTCGTTGTTTAAAAAGAATGCACATTAAAGCCATGCCCGAGGATGCTAAGGGGCAGGTAAGAGAGTTCAGCATTCCTAGCTACCCAAAGGGATGTCTTCTTGAATGGTGACCAATCAAAAAAAAAAAAAAAAATACATATACATATATATATTAAAGGGAACTAATTGTAGGATTATGTGCTGATAGCCCCAAATAGCAGCAAGAAAAAGAAGCTTAGAATGTAAGATAAATTACACACTTGATTTTTGCTTCTTTGGCTTTAGACCTGCTAAAGTTATAGGTCACTAGTTTCTGTTCCAGGTGAAATCCCAGCATCCACTAAGCTGGTGTTGTCCTATCGACCCAGCTGGATCGTGGAACCAGTCTATGGGAAGTGAGGTAAGTGCCTTTTTTTAATTTTGTTTTGTTTTTCCTGGTATATAGTATCATTTAGAAAGTTAATTTTTAATATAAAATTTTATATTGAGTTTCTTATCTTCTTTCCTTTTATAAATCATAGTCATTCATCTTCTTTTAAAAGGCGCTTACCTGACACTCTGTAGGCTGCTTCAGGTAGGGCTCTGTGAGTCATAGGATGTAAGCAGTGTGTTAAAATGCCTTGTCACTGCTCAAAGCAAGAATGATGAACGGTAAGCATTGGAAGGAGAGTCTGGGATGAAGTGAAAACCATGATTCCATTGGTTGAGTATGTTTCCTGAAATACTGGAGAGAAAAGGTGCCACTAGAAATTTAAAATATTTTCTTTTATGTTCTGCTGTTATTTGGGATTTTCAGCACCTGGACCTACAATTAATTTTTAGAATTGAAAGTAACCTATGAAAGTGTCTAATATGGAAATACGCTTGTATTTGTTCCATACTGTGCAGTGAAAAATGTCATTCTGAAACGTGTTGAAATCATCTGGTCAGCTCCAGCCAAGTGTATACATTTAGTAATCTAGAAATGTGGATCACTGCAATAAAAAAAAAAAAAAAATTCCTCCTATCTTCTGAGAAGTGTGATCGTTTTAAATCACCTGCTTTTTAAAAATTTAGTTTTGCAGTGATCAGCTGGCATTTCTTCCCCAGTTAATATGGAAATGCAGTTTAAAATGGAAATGCTTTTGACCGGGAAATTGCTTTGTGTCTTCCTACTTGTATGTATAAATAAAATGTTCCTTTAAGCATTCAGTGGTGTGATTTCTTGGTTACTGCATAGAAAGATTAAAACATCGGGAACTTAGTATGTGCCTGTTTAATTAAACAAAATTCTCTCTCTCTCTCTCTCTCTCTTTTTTTTTGTTTTTTTTTTGTTTTTTTTTTTTTTTGCTTTAAGGCTATTCTTTATTATTCTGGTTATTCACATGTTTGTGAGATGGCACTAACTCTAAAACTTCATTTTTTTCCAACGTGAGATACTAAGCCAGTTTGGTTTGTGGTAAAATTACAAGTTATAAAAATTCATTGGATGTATTGGGTGTTTACTTTTAATAAGTAGTTACATTATGATGTGTGTGAACGTTAAAATCAATCCTGAATATAATCTATTGAAAGAACACGGGTAGCACTATATCCTTAATTTACATTTTTCTTCATAATTTTTAATCACAAGCATGCTAAAAATATTTGTAGAATTGTTTTTTTATAAAACGCTCTCTTTTCAAAGTGTCTTTGTTTCCCAAAAAGTTTTGCCTTGTTTTCATGTAGGAAATAGACTAAGTCAGGTGTTGTGTGGGAAGTGCTGAGAGAATCCAACTTTGCATATATTTTCTAAATTTTTAGTACCTTGAGAATTCCTTTGTAAAGATATACAGTAAATTTATGAAACTAGCAAAGGATAAGTAGATGCGATATGGAAATACTCTTCTCTAAACTTCCTGTGGCTTTTTCTATCCTATCTTGTCTTTTTGCAAGTGTGCTGATGTAAAACTCACTAGTATTAAAGCTTTGCTCATAAGCTCCTGTACCATTTATGAAACTTTGTTCTGCATACATTATTTAATTGGGTTCCCATAGCAGATCCTTTGACATAGCTGTAACTGATACTTCTGTTTCACATCTGAGGAATTCAGAACTTAGGGAATTGAGTGACTGACCTAAAATTTCACTTAGGCATCATGTGCAGAGTAACTCTGAACTCCCATCTAGTTTCCAGCATGCTCCATATCTTGTGCTGCTCTGTTACCTACAGGGAACTTTGAAGCATATCATGAGTTCTAATTCGTGGAAGGATCACACCAGTTATTAAAAGAAATTTTTTTTTTAACGTTTATCATCTTTGAGAGACAGAGAGAGACAGAGCATGAGCGGGGAAGGGGCAGAGAGAGGGAGACACAGAATCCGAAGCAGGCTCCAGGCTCCTAGCTGTCAGAGCCCGACGCGGGGCTCGAACCCATGAACTGTGAGATCATGACCTGAGCCGAAGTCTGATGCTCAACTGACTGAGCCACCCAGGTGCCCCCACACCAGTTATTTTTAATAGTGAATCTTACCTATTTAAAAGTAGAAGGGGGGAGTGCCTGGCTGGCTCAGTCGGTTGAATGTCCGACTCTTGATTTTGGCTCAGGTCATGATCCCAGGGTTGTGGGATTGAGTCCTGTGTTGGGCTCTGTGTTGCATATGGAGCCTGCTTAGGATTCTCCCTTTCCCTCCCTCTGCCCTTCTCCCCAGCTCGCGCGTGCTCTCTTTAAAATAAAAAATATAGATAAACCAAATAAATGACAAATAGAAGGGCAAAATAATGGGAGGATTCTTTAATGACACAACTGCATTGATTCCATGATTAACAAGTCACATGATCAGGAACTTTTAAAAAATATCGAATTGCACTTTTAAGAGATACAACACGAATCTCTCCCAGTTTGCTGTTCATTGGAAAGAGGAAAGAGCTGGAGTAGCATTTACTTCTGGCATTTTTCAGCATTTCTGTAACATTAACTTAAAATTTTTCCCACAACATGGAACCCAAAATTAAGCACTCTGCTCTTAATAAGACTGTACAGATCTCTGCTGAATTTAACACTTTGCTTGTCTGGTTGTACTTTTGTTTCTCTTTCTGCGTTGTTGATTACTGTCTGTTTCATTGGTGCTTTCTTTCTCTAGTACTGTAATGTCAGTCTCAGAGTTCAACCTAGACGTAGCACTTGGGCTCCCCAGACCACTTCCACCCCTTGTGCCTATTCGCACATATTCTGATCGTCATGACTTTGTCTAATGGTTTCCTTCTTGCTTGCGGTGCCCTTGGATGCCTTTCCTTCTGCCTTTTGCCTCAAAGATATCTGCTGTAGGGTTCAGCTCCTCTGTCATGTTCCCTGAAGCTTTCCATTAGCCTTTCTCTTACGTCACAATTAATCTTTTCTGTTTTGTTCTTCCGTGGTATTTTGTTTATTCCTCCACTGCCTCTCCTATCACACTGTCTTATAGTTAATTTTATTTGCCTTTCAATTCCTTACAGGTAGGACCAAAAAACGTGGCTCTAAGTAAACATGGGGTTGGACAATATTGGTTTATCTGGTTTGTTCTGAGGTGTTTTTTGTTTTTGTTTTTTTGCCAACTAGAGACATAAATCTGTATTTTACACCTGTGTCTTAATTCGCTTTCTAATAAGACATGTACTGGGGACACAGTTTAAGTACTGAGGAAGATAGATGCTGGGCATTTTCCAGGGAGGAACAAAGATGTGGTGACTCCGGGGCTCATGCGTTTTAAGTCCTTTCAGGCAGCATCTTTTATAAATTGATGTCTCATGACTGCTTAGCGTGCTTCCTGGCACATGTAGCAAGGTGTTGAACAGAACTTTGGTGAATGAATAGTTTGGTGCAATCATACGATATTTTTAGTTCATTTCAATCATGGGGGAGAGAAAGAAACACAGGTTCTCTTTGTTGGTTGTTTATTTTTAGTGGTTATTGTCTTCACTATGTATTTTCAAGACTGAGCAACCATCAGCCTCTATTGACTAATGATTGAGGTTTGTTAATATAACTTGTGAAGTAAATGTATTTGATGTTGAGAAGTAGTTTTTAGTTACTTGGACTAAAAATTTAGTGTATTACCCATTTTGGTTGAATTTGAGCTGGTCTCTTTGAAGCTTAGTGGCCTTAGAGGAAGATTAACTGTAGAAATACTACAAATACTTGTTGTAAGAAAATTTTCTCGGTTGTGAAAATTTAAATGTTAGCACCACGTTTCTTACATAGTTCCTTTTTTTTTTTTTTTTTTTTAAGAGAGACCGCGAACGAGCACGGGGGAGGGGCAGGATTGGGGGGAGAGAATCTCAAGTGGGCTCCACGCCCAGTGCAGAGCCTGATGTGGGGCTTGATCTCTTGACCCTGAGATCATGACCTGAGCTGAAATCAAGAGTCGGATGCTTAAGACTGAACCACCCAGGAGCCCCTCTGTATTTTTTACAATAAGCATTTTTAGTTTAGAAAAATTATGTAGCAGTTAACTTTAAATATAAACACAGGAAGAATAAATACTTGCATCGCAGAAGAGTGGTAATCAGCACAAATCCAGGAAGTCATAGAGTGAGGGAAATTAGTCTGGAGCCTGACCGTATGTATGTATGTAAGACACCTTGGTCAAATCACGCGGCTCTTTTTTTCTTTAACTAGTAATATTAAGCTGTTGTGATACGTTGGTGTCCAAGCTGTCAAAGCTTTAAAAATTAATTAAATCATATCTTGAATTCTGTGAAATTGTCCATACTTTTTCTTCCAAGAATAGTAATTTGTTCACTGGGAGTGCATTTCTTTTAACCTTTGCAGAATTGCAACATAAGCATTTTTCTCTCATTTCTTCTACGATTTGTTGTATTCAGAAAAGAAACACAGTTTACCATTTAAATCTAAAGTACTGAGACAGAATGTCATGTAATGTTCCATATTTGTTAAAGGGTGTCCCTTTTATTTTAGATTTTATTCCTCTGAAAATAATAGCGAAGGAATATTTGTTATTGAATATTTACCTGTTTCATGAGGGGTTATATAATCCCACTAAGCCATTAGATCATTAAATTTGATAATTACCATGTTGATGATTTATCTTGTAAATGTAATTAATTCAATTTTTATATTTGTGCGAGAGTAGCTTTGAAAATGTGATACGTGTTTTTATTAGTGTAATTAAATTTTGATTAATTTTTTAATACTTTACATGTTTTGTGTTTTTCCTTTGGAGGATTGGATAGCTTTAGTCAAAGCAGCTGCTGCAGCTGCAGCCAAGAATAAAACAGGGAACAAACCTCGCACCAGCGCTAACAGCAATAAAGACAAAGATGAGAGGAAATGGTTTAAAGTACCTTCAAAGAAGGAAGAGACTTCAACTTCTATAGCTTCATCAGAAGTTGAGAAGAAGGAAGATCTGCCTACATCTAGTGAAACATTTGGTACAAAATATGTTCTTACGTTCATTCCTATGGCAGGGTGAACTCTCATAGTGAGTAAGCCAGAACCCCTGGCTACCTGTGATTTGGGGGTGTGGTTAAATGATTGGGCTCCCCCCCCCCACCCCAGCATAAATGGTTAACTTTTGTAGCGTGTAACAGAGCCAGAGATAACTTCTAACATGGGTACTGGATAATAGGTGCCCTCAGTATTCTTGAATAGAAATGGGTTCAGATCTTGACTTTTAAGTTCTTGTTAGTAGGCTTTGGAGTTTTTGTTTGTTTGTTTTGTGTGTGTGTGTGTGTGTGTGTTTTTTTTTTTTCTTTAACTTTTTAAATGCTTCTACATGTGTTTTGGTATGTAATATGGGAAAAGCAGTAAGTCCTTTTCTTCCTGCTTTTCTTTCCTAAAGAATAACTACTTGGTAGTTTTTTATTTCTAGTTTTCAGTCTGGAGAAATTTGTGTTGTTTGAAGTTCTATGTCAAGCACTGGGTTAAAAAAAAAAAAAAAAAACATAAGTGCAAAGCATTTTTACTATTTTGCTATTTAAAAAAAAATATCATGTGTTTTAACTTTGGATTCTAGATAAACTCTCATATATGTATTCTATTAAAAGTAGGACTTCATGTAGAGAACGTTCCAAAGATGGTCTTTCCACAGCCAGAGAGCACATTATCAAACAAGAGGAAAAATAACCAAGGCAACTCATTTCAGGCAAAGAGAGCTCGACTTAACAAGATTACTGGTAAACTACAATGATTCTTTTGGTTTGGGGGGAATGGAGGGGTTGATTTTAGGGTAGTTTGTTTTTAATAAAGCGAAATGTATCTTTTGTTTTAGTGTAACAAACTGCTTAACGAGGAAGACAGGTACTTTATGGTTCTTCAGAGTCAACATCCTTCAACGCTGTCAGCTTTTTCTATTGTGAAATGTGAAACCTGTCACCTATTTTCTGCCTACCTCACAGGGATGTTGTGAGGGTGGATAGGATCAAATGAGATAAAATTCCATAGTTTTTAAATCACCTTGGTGGCAGGAGTAGTTTCTATTAAGGCTCAGATCATCTGCTATTGTCAGCCTGGTGGGGTCACAGTCTCTGAGGTTCTAAATGTTACTACACAAACCTTCTTACTCTTGCCTGGGCTCATTAAAGATGGCAGCAAGTATGGCTGGAAAGATGGATGCTCCACTGAATTCAGGTCCTGAATCTGTTTTCCCAAAGTAAAAGTACTTCTAGAAGTTTCTTACACTTTTCATCTTCAGGTTGGTTCCTAGAATCTCATCTTGTTTCTCGATGCCTGCCTTAATCTAGGAAGTGTAGGGTGTTAGGACGCCGAGAACTCTGGCAGTCTTGGCGTGGTTAGTGGTCATGGGAAAAGCGTTGGAAGCAGGGTCAGTCATACCAGGGCCCCATCACTTGCAGGGCCTGTTCAGCCTAGCGATTCTAGCGATTCTTTACAAAGAAATTGTAAACATGTTTAATTTTTCTGAGTATATGTTAAAAGGAGAGTTAAGATACTTTTAATTATTCAATCGTATGTTCTTATTTTAAGGACAAAATGGTTTTTAGTGTCTTTGGCCTAATAAAGCTGTATAAACCTTTGTTGGCATTCTTTTAAATAATTTGAAGAAGCTTGGTTTCACTGTCAGATCGAAGAATACATGTCAATTAAACATTCTGACCATTTCCTGAAGAATAGAATCCCATTGAAAAGTGACTGCAGCTGAGGGTTCTTTAGAACCACTGTTTTATCGCAGTGTTCTTCTTAAGTGATTATGATTGGTTTCAACAGGTGAGAATATTTAGTCTTTCCATTTGTTATTATTTTTGTGCCTTTTGCTGATAAAGGATATTTTGGCCCCAGGACAGGAAATATTTCAAATCAATTCACCCATTCCACCCTTTCCTTAGAAACTGTTAGCTTCGGAGAAAGCCAGGATGTCATCCGGTGATTGTGGTTCCGATGGCAGCTTGAGACTTCAGTTTGGCCCTAGCAGAATGGAAACTAGGGCTGCGTGCGCAGGGGGAAGAAGAGGAAAGCGCTTCCGGCTCCGGTGCTACCAAGACTAGAGCCACGCTCCCGCAGGGGCCAAGACCAGGGGCCAAGCCCGAGGGAGATGGACATGACCCTGACGCTGACGCTGACTCACTCGGTGTGCCTGCCAGCTTACCAGCCTCGAGGGTTTTCCTGCAGTCTGGATAACCTGCTTTTAGTTTCGGGCAGTATATTCTTACATGTGCCTTACTGAGAAGTTCAAGCCCGGCATTTAAAGAAATAAAAGAAGAAAATAGCTCAGTCCACAACAATGTGTTATTTACATGTGGCCTTGAAAAGACAATAGCGGGGGAAAAAATCATTTTACCTTGTGTCTCAAGGAAGTTCTAATATTGGTTGCTTAGTAACACCAGGTGGAGGGACTTTGTCCTTACTTCCCCTTGGGAATCTCGAAAGAACAAGTGATAGTTTGGCAGCAGTAGAAAAGAGTAAGATTTCACGGATGTGAAGCCATTATGGTTTTTTTCCTTTACTTACTTTGAAAATTTGAATGTATGGTAATCCTTTTAATAGTTCATCTGTTTCTCTTTTCATGTTGCAATTATATCCTGCAAAAAGACAATAGATCTTATAAGACTATTTTCAACGGTTGAAACTCAGGCTTGCCTCTGTGTAGTACATTTCATTTGCAGACCATACAAAGAGATGAGAACAATACAAGATAGTGATTTTGTTACGGAGTTTTGGTGTGTTTTAAATTTATGAAGCTCACTTCACATGTGTCTGTCTGCCCCTTTGCTACTGAGAGGAATAGGGCTGTGATCATGGCAGCATCTTAGCTGCTCTGATGTGTTTCCCCCCACTCCACATTTTTATTTTTGAAATCTTTCTACTAGCTGGAAATAAGCAGATCAGCCACTGGATAAATTTAATTCCCGTCTTCACTCTTTCTGTTCACTTCCCGATGGTCACACGCTATAGAGATTCTAAACGTGAATTCTGTTTAGGGGATGGTACAGGATGGCTTTTTTTGAAGTTTCCAAATAAGTACATACTGAAACGGTAGTGGCACAGTGTATAGATGTCCTTCCAGAGACTTGTTTTTCATTACGTGATATACCTTATTGATAGTTAATATACTTTATGCATACTGATTTCCAATTGACGATTTTACGGAGCCGAGTCAAGAGCCCATGCTTTGGGACAAAGTTGCAAGCAGACTGACTGCAAGCAAATTTGAGTAGATTTTAAAATACAGATTGACAAGGGAGCGAAAGAAGAGACATCAGCAATTGGCACATGGTCTGATTCTACAACTGGTAGGAGTTCCTAGAATTTCAGCCAGCTGAAAGTTTGTGCAGCTTAAGGAACTTTACAAATAATTTGAAAAAACCCAGAGGTTGGAACGGGCCCGTACATGTTACTGATAATAATGTCAAGAATATTCGATTCTTTTTCCCACAGCAAGAATGTTGTGTTTGAGTCCTCTGTCTGAATTCCCTGTGTTGGAATCCCTGGTTGAAAAGGAGAGCACAGATTTAACGACTTACTTTGTCCTTCCTGCCATTTGCCATCCCAGGGTTCTCTGGCCTCTGTTCTGTGCATTCCTATTAGCAGAGGCAGACAACTGTGATATTGCAGCTGAAGTACAGTATTGAGAAATTGCAACTTTGTGGGTGGGACTTAGGACTATTTGGTATTCTACTTGTATCTGATATTTGCGTAACATCTTGAAACTGAATAATGCATTCTGTTAAGATCGTTACAGATATGTTCTTCTGGAGATGGACCTGTTTAGTGATATATAATTAATAAGCATTTTCAAAGAAGTAAAACTAACTTCATTTGTATCTCTTTCCTTTCACTTAATTCTTCTCATTTTCTAAGGATATTGCATTTTTACCCAGAATATTCACAGGCCAGGAAAAACAGATTTTCGACAGCCTCTTAAGGCAGCAGTAATCAGAGACCTTTCAGAGACTTTTATTTTTGTCCTCTTGTTTGTATCTGGTACCTCTTTTGTAAGATAGCATGTATACAAAGTGTGAAAAGCTTTTTCTCGATCATATTTGAGGCATTTGAATTCACTGAATTCTAAGTATTGCAATTTTCTAATCTAATTTTGAGTAGTTTTTATTAAATGCGCCATTACTTTTTATAAGAACATTACAAAGCTTTATTTTTCCATCACAAACCATTAGGTGGGAATTGCTTTTAATTAATTGGGTCTATAATATTCTAATTTAAATTTGCAAATATGTCTCAATTAGTTTCTTTTAAAACTTGTAGTACCTTATTTTTGTAATTTGAGATCTCTTCCATGTATTGATGAGATTTAAAAAATATTTCTACCACCTCTATGAAAGGAAACAAAATATAAGATACATTTAATAGATTGAATAGCCAAATATTTGTCCTGTTTGAGTAAACATTTGAAGTGGAAACTCTACTCATTTCCCTGCAAAAGAACTTGGTTCCCTAATTATTTTTCTTTTTATTTCAGTAGTATTGATTCTCAAAAATATTAGCTAGAGAAGAAAAACCTAATGAACATGGTTTTAAATGTTAAGGAAATACACCATGCTACATCTGTCTCAGTCATCTAAAACTATGTTCAGATGTGATATTAATATAATCAGGATTGAATCTATGGTTTGTAAGATTTTGATAAAATTATTTCTATATTGGCTTTCCCCCCACCCCCGTTTAAATCTACATTTAATATCGTGTGAGCAAACTATATAGATTGTTACCTCAGACTGGACCAAATACATTTTTAATATCAGTCACTGATCTGTCAAAAGTCAAAATCATTGTGTAAAACAATAGAAATGGAAAGCCCCTTTTCTATTTTAAATTACAATTCTGGGTGCTGGATATTCAACTTTCTAGAAAAGGAAAGGTGCTTTTGGCCTAATTTAACACTTGCCTGTAGTACTGCTTTAAGGATACGTCTTTACTATCTGAATTCCTACTTAGATCACTTAGCATCTTCAAGATAGTTACCTGAAAAAGCCAAGAGATGTTGCCACGTGGATAGCTCAATGTTATGTGGCATCTGGGGGCACTTTTTCCCCCTCCTATTAACTACACTGTATGGGCCGCTTCAGGAGTCTAGGTGGTATAATTGCTGCAGTAAGTTAACTGTTACGTTGCTGATTGTTAAACAGGCTTCCTTTGAAGCAGAGGTTTTGTGTAGCCAACTTTGTTTAAAAATTTTTTTTTTTTTAACATTTATTCATTTTTGAGATTGAGAGAGGCAGAGCATGAGCAGGGGAGGGCAGAGAGAGAGACACAGAATCTGAAGCAGGCTCCAGGCTCTGAGCTGTCAGCACAAGAGCCCAACGCAGGGCTCGAACTCACAGACCGTGAGATCATGACCTGAGCTGAAGTCAGACACTCAACTGACTGAGCCAGCCAGGTGCCCCTTGTGTAGCCAACTTTGTAATGGTAGAAATGATTTTTGGGGCCCTTTTATGTGCCCAGTGGTCATAAGCAAAGACGTACTTGTATTATACAAGCGTTATAAACTTGGCTATATTGACAGTGCTTGTCAGGTGCTTAGTAAAGAATCTTGACCAAGTAAATGCCTTTGTTTGTTTGTTTGTTTATTTATTTATTTATTTAAAAAATTTTTTTACATTTATTTATTTTTGATAGAGACAGCACAAGTGGGGGAGGGGCAGAGAGAGAAGGAGACAGAATTTGAAGCAGGCTCCAGGCTCCGAGCTGTCAGCACAGAGCCCGACGTGGGACTCGAACCCACGAATGCAAGATCCTGACCTGAGCCAAAGTCGGATGCTTAACTGTCTGAGCCACCCAGGCGCCCCTAACTGCCTTTAATTTAGAAATTAAGGCAGTTTTATTGTCTTATAACATTGATTTATATACTCTAGGTAAAATATTCTGTCCTCGAAAATTGAGAATTAGTGATACACATTGGAGAAAACTGGAATTCCTAAATTATTTCATAGTTTATAGAATGAGGCTCTATAATATTAAGTTGAATGTAGGAAGGACCTGCACTTTTTCCCCCATTAACATAGAACAGATCCATCAGTGTTTTTGGCACTTTTGCAAGAAGATAAGGTACAGCAGGGTATAGGGATGAACCCATAAAGCTTTGGTCAAAGGATCCATGTGGAAATAAAAATTGGGAGTCGTCGTTTAGCTAATAATATAACAACAGCAAAGTCTTCTAGATGTTTGGAAGGATTTCTCAGATCTTGATGTTAACTCTGTATTTCAGTTGTATAGACAAAGCCCATATTATGAGTATTAGTTAATCTAACCAATCTTCGGTTTCTAGACATTAAGTCGTAGAATTAAAATGTGTATGCGTATGTTTTTTTTAAGGATATCTTTAGGAGTAATTCTTTTTTTTTTTTACAGAGAACTGATTGTGTAAAAAACTCAAGTTCTGATTCAGTCCCTTGAGTCATTATAAAGGGTGTTCATGTTTTTGACAAGTAAACTTTATATTAAATCCTCTATATTAAAAAGGATGGGGGATGTCAACTGCTAACATTTGGGGGAAGTTGATTATATCAGAAGCCAGTATTTTTTCTAATAAGCAATTTCTGTACAATTTTTCTCAAGGTTTGTTGGCATCCAAAGCTGTTGGGGTGGATGGTGCTGAAAAAAAGGAAGACTTCAATGAAACGGCTCCAATGCTGGAGCAGGTATGAAATGGTAGCATTTGATTTTTTTCAAGGTTCCCAACTGGAATGATCACGGAGCTATAGTATCCACGTAATTGAAATTGCCCTTTTGATTGGATATGGGAATAGGAAGCTAATTAATTGATGATATATTTTTAACTCTGCCTTCTCCGAGGTACGCAGATAAACTACAGACTTTGCTAGTGTTTGTTTTCGGTAGACTGGCATTAAAGCCTTTATCTCCAACATTTGAAGGCCTGGAGACAGGCATCCCAGGGTATAAGCTTCCAGCTGGATCACCTTTAACTAGCTTACAAAAAGACCCTTACACAAATACTTTTCATTTGTGAGTTAAAACAGGGTTTTTGACATCTAATAAAGCTTCTTTTGTAAGAAGTTTCTTTTATATTGTAACAATTGGTGTTGTTAGACTGACTATGTGTTTTATGAATTGATCAATGAGCCATACATTTTTGCTAGGATGTATATTTTAATAACTACAAAAAAAAGAATTTTAAAAAACTATTAAGGGTCTGTCTTTAAACCACCTAATAGAGGAATTTAAAAGTGAAGGTTGCAGTTGCTAGATTTTGCCTTGGCTACCTTCAGATTCCCACAGTACCTGTACATAATGAACTGTGCATGCTTTTACATTCTCTAAGGGCTTAACTTCTTGGGCACTGTAAGACTATAAGAACACAGTAATAGCCATAACTGGATTTCCTTGGTTCTCCTGTTTTAAAATCTGAGCCTTAATGTAGTTTTAATATATCCTTTTTGTATTAATTTAATTTTCTTTATTAGTAGCCTAATAAAGAAGACTTTAAAATGAGTATCTTCTGCTCTTCTCTCTATGCGTTTTAAAAAATAGTCCAAATTTAATTGATATTGTATTGAGTTTTTCAGGGTTATTTTAGGCCTGATTTGATAACAGTGCATTGTTTTGGTGCCTCCATTAATGTTGTATGAAATCAATGGTCTTTTAAATTGATTAATATGTCAGCGAATCATACCTTCTGATTTTCTGTGATCATCAAGCGGTTAAGTCTCTGCCGTTATTGTCAGTATATCAACCAAATTTTAAGTGATTTTTTTTTTTTTACTGTGTATTACTATATTCAACGTCCCATATATAACAATATTTTGTATTTTCACCACTGTTTATGGTATTCTCAGAATGCAATAAATCAGGGACTTGGTAATAAAATGTTTCTGGAAAATTCATTACAATGTCAATCTTTCATGATGCACAATCCTGCTGCGGTGAATGTGATTGTGAAGATTACTTCTTCTTTGTGGAAATTAGTGGCGAGGGCAGGGCTCATTTCAGAGAGAAGTACAGAAAACAGCATTCGGAAATTGAGTTTATAAAAAAAAGAAAGACAAATTGAGTAACTCGGCTGTTTGTTTGCATCATTAAGGCATTTTGAGAGTCCTTGCCAGTTTTGTAACAAAGAGACCAACAGTCATTACTGAAAACTTTGTAAATTATTTTAGATTTTTAAGGAACATGATGCTGTTCCCTCATTTTTTGTCATTCAGATTGATATCATTGTGAAAATGTTTTGTAACCCAACAATTTTTATGCTGTTCGCCCTGCTTCAAAGTTAAAAAGCCGAGTTATAAAACTCTTAATTACAAGTGCTGGTATGAACGATAGACTTAAAGGAGAGGCATCGATTGTCACTAACCTCTGTTGTCTTAATGAGTAAAATCATGAATGTCACTCATGACATAGATTTATAACAGGCCTATAGCCAGAACTTACTGTGCTAATGGATTTTCTTTATTGACACTTAAAAAAAAATCAAACTGTGGTCTTGAACCCCAATTCTCAGATATTAATTATAGATTATTTAATTGTATTAGGGAATTGTCATGTTATATTTACTTTTGGATAAAACCTGCATTAGATGCATAATTCAGTAAGTTTTTAAAAATGTTAATTTGTCCTTGTTTAGAAGTTAAGCACCTTATCAAGATACTAATTTCAGTTTTCAATCTTGTTTCATAACTTTGTAACTTGAGAGTAATGGATGCTGTAGTGATGTCTCTCACATATGTGAAGATGAACAATAAAATTGTTTATTTACAAGTAATGGCTCTAATTACTTTTCTGGCAACACCTTTTATGATAAGTTTAGGACTCCTTTCCATTTATGGAGTACTTTTTCAAACGATTAATCTGCACTTGTACACACGCATGATGAGTAAGTTCAAGACTAGAGATGATGACAACCGATTGAAGGGGATACTTGCCACCAGCCCTTTCTGTGGCGCGTTCAGCATGCCACCTGCAGAGCATCGCGAGGTGCTCTATCTACTTGGCACCAACTGTGCATCAGACTTGGAGCGCCTTGTCCGTTAGCGGGAGCAGAAAGCTGTTTGGTCCCCAGACGATGCTCTTTCATGTTCCAGAGAACCACAGACTGCTGACCTGATGGTCATCCCTCATAAAAGATAAGGAAGTAAAAAGGTTTCCTGGGGACAAGCATGCTGTTAATAGCGTTAGCAATTTAATTCTGTAGAGAGGCCTATCTTAGCATAGATTATTTTTTAAAAGGGTATCTCCTATTTTGTTCTCAGATCCGTGTATCAGAAAGAGATACAGCCCAGGCATTCCAACACCATAGATTGTAAATCCATCCAATGTGGCTATTCTCTGTTGTCTTTGGACACATTCACATAAATTTCTATATAATAGGGAGGAAATTATACTGCCAAATGAACCAAGATATCCTTTATGAAAGAACTGACAAAGTTCTAATTTTTTTTTAAAAGTATCAGTTGGCAGGAGGAAGGTAAAAATTCTCATCTAAGAATGCGACGTATTTTGTTTTTAAATCCAATGTTTTTAACTTACACTTGGTTTTACTCCTTGGTTTTTTTTGTTGTTGTTGTTGTTGCTTGTTTTGTATTGTTTTTTAGTCTTTTAACTCTGTACTGCTGGTGGCTTTGATTTCATGACGCACTATGCTTATGAAACTCTAGCTTTCAGCACTAAAATGAGTTAAAGATAATGTTTCGTTAATTTGGTCATTGTTTTCCTGTTGAGATCTTTCTTTAAAGGGAAGCTGTCTACTTAGACTTCTGCAGTCAACTTGATAAAGGAAATTGTTTTTTAACGAAACATCTAAAAGTCAGAAGCTTAAATGTATTCAATTAAACGCATCTGAACAGTGGAAATGCTGTTTATTTACCTGTTATCGACGTAGTTGGTAATTAAGTTTCAAAAGAGGTGTATTTCAGTCTAATACCGTGAAAATATTTGTCCGTCAAGCTATCATTTTATATTCCGAAAATATGATGAATAATACAGTTTTTTAAAAAAACCAAATGTAGACCAAAAGCCGACAGCATCCCTTTAAAGATAGCCTATTCAACTTTTAGTTAATAATTTGTGGGGTTCTTTTTGGTTTTTCATTTGTAATAGAAATGTTACATGTTGCTTAACAATGTTTTTGGATACTAAAGTTGCTTAACAATCAAAATAGAATACAAGAACAAAAATGAAGAAACCAAAATAAAAATATCAATTTTTTATTATTTATTCAGGCGATTTCACCTAAACCTCAAAGTCAGAAAAAAAATGAAGCTGACATTAGCAGTTCTGCCAACACTCAGAAACCTGCACTGTTATCCTCAACTTTGTCTTCAGGGAAGGCTCGCAGCAAGAAATGCAAACATGAATCTGGAGATTCTTCTGGGTGTATAAAACCCCCTAAATCACCACTTTCCCCAGAATTAATACAAGTCGAGGATTTGACGCTTGTATCTCAGCTTTCTTCTTCAGTGATAAATAAAACTAGTGAGCACAGATTTTTAAAAAATAGTTACTTATCCTATAAGATACATTAAAAACAGTTTGATTGTAGTTATATTGTATTTTTATGAAGTTGCTTTTTAAAAATTCAGACTTAAGTGGATCTGACAGGGAAGGCTTAAAACTATTTTCAGGGGCAAAAACCATATACATTTCTGACTGATTGACTGTACAGAGACTGTACATTTCATGGCGCAAATTCTGTAGTTTGACTCTCCTCGATTAATAGTAATCCGAGCACAATGAGAGGCCTGATTCATTACAAAAAACCAAACCAAAACAAGGAGCTAGGAAGAGACTCACACTGAATGTTTTTCCTCAACTCCTAAGACTGTTCTCATGGGTAGATTTAGCTCTTGTTCCCAGTTGTCTGTAGCCCCCCGCGATAGGTTTTATTCATTCTTGTTCTGGGATTTGGAGTTCAGACTTCCGTGTATTCTTACTGAGGAAGGGAGAAGAACGCTTCCTTCATCTTATTTTTAAAGATTTTACTGTTTCAGTACCACTGATCTTTCAAGAGTTAACTTAGTCTTTTTAAAAATAGCCTTCCAACGTGGGTCTGGATATATAAACGGAGATTTGTATGGACCCTCTGCTTCTCCGGTTAGTTCCGTATTCTCAGTTAGAGACGGTTTGAAAAGCTGTGACCTGGGAAGTCGCTGGATAAAAGATACTTCCCTTCGGCAGTTCGCACAAGCGAACTAGTATCCTGATTTGTAAGTGAAGACACATGTTCTTAGGAACTCTTCCATATCATGTTTTCTACAACAATTAAAAATGTTGGCATCGAGGAGACTTTCACCAGCCAAATATAGTCTCTTTCTCCCAATTCAGTTGCCATATTTTCTACCAAACTGTATTTTTGAATTTTTGAGCAGGCGTTGGTATTTTTTTTTTTTTTTTTGTTTTGGTTTTGTTCTTTTTAATAAATGGGTAGGGAGAATGGGAACAGAAAAACTCAGTCGTTTCCTCGTAAGCTTCATTTCATTTTGGCATTTACCACGAAATAACATAATGCTGTTAGTAGTCACCACAATGTCACGTGACATTGATAAGTATTTTATTTTGAAATGGTTTTATATTTTGGTATTAATAGCCACAATGTTACAGCAATTGAATTTTATTCTTTCATTCTTTTTTCAATTATCACCATGTCTTTTTTTTTATTTTGATTTTTGTAATATGATTTTTAAGTACCCAAAGCATCAACCACTCTTATTTCCTCCTTCTCAGTTAACATGAGTATATTGGCCTGTGTTATCCTGTCTGTTCTAAATTCTTCAACATGTTTACATGCCCCGTAGAAAGAAGAAAACTAAAGGTTAAAAAAAAACCCCACAGATTTCCAAACTTTTGTGTTACCTAGCTAGAAGATGCTTAATTGACCCACCAAATTAGTTATTTAAAAAGAAAAAAAAATGGGGGCAAGAATGAACAGTGTTATATCTTAAAGTCCTCATTATTTGCCTATAATAAGTACTTAACGTTGTTTGTGTTCAATTTTTTTTAATGAATCAGGCCCAAAATGTTTATAAAAATCCATTTGTGGGAACGAGGGTGGGATAAACTTAATGTACGTTAGTTTTATTTTGGCAAGTAAAGCACTGACTCTACAATGCATGTCAGATTTTTGTCACCTATGCCCCCTGCCTTTTTGTCCCTTAGAGTTTCTAGATTTGTAATATAGCTAAAGAGATCTATCTATCTATCTATCTATCTCTCTATATATATTTAATTTTTTTAAAAATCTCAGCTATACAGACTATTTTCCCAAAGGAAGAATGGCAACTAACACAATGATCTACAATTAGAGAATTAACTGTAGACTGTCACTTGGGAAACTACCTGAAATCCATGTTCCATGTTATTTTCTTTTGGTTCTAGTAGGCCTTAGACCTTAGAAGTTTTGATTAGCTTTTTGTGAATGAGGGCACAGTTTTTGCCTTTGATTACTTTTGGAACATGCTGTTCCTTGTGGATACCTAACACCATCAGAGGGCAGAATTTGAATCATTTTTCCCATTTATCTCCTTAAATATTATAAGATGATCCTGGCATGTATCTGCTTCGTGAACATTGAAGATCTTTTTCTAGGTTCTCCACAGCCTGTGAACCCCCCTAGACCTTTCAAGCATAGTGAGCGGAGAAGAAGATCTCAGCGCTTAGCCACCTTGCCCATGCCTGATGATTCCATAGAAAAGGTTTCTCCTCCCTCTCCAGCCACTGATGCGAGCATGTTCTCCATCAGTTCTCAGAATCAGCAAGAGTCTTCAGTACCAGAGGGTAATGTATATTGATTTCGTATAGAACCAAACAGAAAAGAGATAAAGATTATTAAAATATTAAGAAGTTACTACTTTTTCCTTCTTCCATCTTTTAGACTTAAAAGCACTTTGTTTACAAATATTTATTGAGTGCCCTTAGGTCAGGCGAGATTTGACGCAGATAACATTTTACTCCACATTGATACTTACCGAGCCCGTCGACCTCTGTTAATATTCTGTTACATCCTTTATCTTGTGTAGTGCCCGATGTTGCACATTTGCCACTCCAGAAGCTGGGACCCTGTCTCCCTCTTGACTTAAGTCGTGCCTCAGAAGTTTCGGCACCGCCCGTCCCAGAGCCCGTTTGTCCTCATGAATGTCCCAGGCCAGAAAAGGAAGACGCACAGATGCTTACGAATCCCTCTTCCAGAGCGATAGCTGATGGAAAAGGAGCTCCAACAGCATCAGGTAAAAAAAAATAATAATAAAAATAAAGATTCATTTTATAAGGAGGTAGGCTTGCACTTAGAGGGCATAGACGCTCTGATGTTTGCTTCCATGACTTTAACATGTAATTCCTTTTCATAGATGCTCTTATGTAACGTCTACGGGAGAGAGGGTTTCACTTTAAAGTTCTTTTGTGCAATCATTTACCATCAGCCTCCCTGGACTGACTTCCTGTTTTGTCATTTTAATCTACTTCCTTCTCCTTGCTTCTTTCTTATATCCTGTTTTTGTTTTTAATTAAAAATAGGAATTGTTAGAGCTGACTATAATGACATAAGTTCTTGGGTTTGAAGCCAGAAAATACCTAATGGGATCAGTATTCAGGTTTAAGGGTTTGAATAGAATTTAGTATTTAAGAAACACGTGGCTTAAATTTAACTGTATACCTTAAATATAACCCCCTATTTGCAGGCACACTCTCCGTAATTTAAATGTCCTTTGTTACGAAGTCATCTGGGGAGCCTAATGTGCAAAAGCAGCCAGTAACACATTTTGGGGACAGTTTTATGATTCTGTAACCTATGATATGGTTACGTTATTTTATTTGGAAGTCTTACAAGATTTTAACCTCAACCAAAGAGTATATATGATTTAAAAAAGGCGAATACTAACTTCATATGTTCTTCTAGTAAATTACTAATTTGGAGATAGAGGGATGAAGGAAGTCGGAATTGAGCCAGTTCAGAGCTGGAGAAAAATGTAAGACTGTTTCTTGATCTGCAGCCCAGAGCATGAGGGCTGATTGTTTTAATAGCACCCACCCTGGAGTCACTTTATCTACCAACTCATCAGATGAAGCAGAAAATAGAGCTTGCTCTTTCCTGGTGGTGGCGCGTATGAAAATAAAATGATTGAAGTAACTTACCTTTTAGATTACTGCCTTTACCTTCTTTCAAAGTAAAAATGTAATATTAAATACACAGTTTTCTGCAGTTTGATTTTATCAATAAAGATTGAAGTCATTTTGTTTCTGTATTTTGTTTAAAAATTCCAGTGCCAAATGTGAAGATTTATAGGTTTTGAAACATCTGTCATTTCCCAAGTCCCATCCGTTGCCTTTTGACTTTTTTCCAAGCCCCTTCTATCCATAGGGTAATTTTTCTTTTCCCTTTTCCCACAAAATTCCTGAATTACCTTGACTCTCTGAGATATTTTTCCTGATGAAGGTCTTACACAGTTGGTTAATAATCTGGACTTTTTCACGGTACTGAATATATGAAAAGTATGTTAAAGTTATAATCTATATCCATTGGGGAAATTATTTTCAGATGTGCCTTTGACGATATTTGTATTTTCTTTAAACATATACATATATATTCTAATCGTAACGTGACTGAAACGTAGACCAATGTAAACAGCTATATAATAATGAAGAGTGATTTTAGATTACATATCCTAAAATGTCAAAGTAGTGATGGCACATGAAGTGGAATCCTTGGTTGAAATGACTTTACTTCTAACCAGAGTGTTAGCCTCGTCTTTTGTTAGAATTTCTAGCTTATTTGCGGACTTACTTACTGCTAATTACGACTGGGTGTGGTTCTTGTTTCTCATAATAGTGTGTGTGGGGGGGGGAGGCATAATATTCTTCTCCCTTTTAAGACTTAGAGATAACTTGGAGAAAATCAAAGTAGTAGGACAGAATTCTGGAAAAGTGAATGGTAGAGAGGAGCTGAGATTTGCAAGACGACGAATTTGTAGATGCGTTGACGGGTGAGGATCTTCTGGGTGTGCCGACAGCTGGCAACCTTCATTGCTTAAATCGAGGAAGTGCATGGCTTAAATGTTAATTACTGAAAGGCCGTTTATTAGAGGGTTGAACACAGTCACAGTATTCGAATGTGGCATGATGGGGGTTCTGATTTATTTCTGTTAACTTCTTGTAATTTTTTTATTTTTGGAGGAAGTAGTGAAATTCAGGTCGTATTCTAATTGGACGCCTTTTTATTAAAACTTTGTGAGCCTCTCTGACTTGCATTAACATTCTGAGTCATTGGCATGCTTTTATCTCTTACCAGTTTTGTTTCCTACCTTCTTTCCACTGTTTTGCAGTCTTGTTGGACTTCTGTAGTCTTTCATGTAGAATCACAGTGACAGCTGTTTTTGTTTCTGTCGTGTTTTGTTGTTTTTTTTTTTCAACGTTTATTTATTTTTGGGACAGAGAGAGACAGAGCATGAACGGGGGAGGGGCAGAGAGAGAGGGAGACACAGAATCGGAAACAGGCTCCAGGCTCTGAGCCATCAGCCCAGAGCCCGACGCGGGGCTCGAACTCACGGACCGCGAGATCGTGACCTGGCTGAAGTCGGACGCTTAACCGACTGCGCCACCCAGGCGCCCCATGTTGTTTTTTTAATATATGCATGTGTGCTTGGTTGGTTGGTTTCCATCTTCATTAATAAAAGGAAATTTTGTTACTTCCATAGCAAGCGTTATTTACTCGAACTTGAGTCAAAGACTTTTCCTGGGGTGTTTTTGTCAGATTGAAACTCTTGGGTTGTTGAAGAGGAGGAGGATGTTAGTCATAAGCCGGCAAATAGTTGAGCAGACTTAGATGTTCATTATTCATGTGTCCGAGGTACACACACTGTTGAGTTTCGCAGTCCTGGTAAAGGATTCATGAGATTATGCAAATTATCACATACACCTGTTCTGAAAGGTTTAAACCTTTCACGGTAGAGATGAGGCGTTTGAGGCCATCCTTCTGCGTTCTTTCACGGGCGAGCGTGCCCACGTTCTGTCTAGTCTGGGTTAAGAGTGCTACTGCTGCCCACGTTACCAAAAAACACCAGCGGTACCGTGGTAAAAACTGATGCCTTTGTTCTCGTTTTACTGTTAGAGTGCTGTATGTAATGGAGCCGACCAGTTTTAGGTTAGGATGAGTCTTAGTTTTGTTGCCGTCTGGAAACGTTTGCTCATTTTCTCATTTATCTACCGAGTGTGTGTGTAGCAAATACTGAATTACTCCAGCCTCTTTAAGGAGTTCAAAGATGTTGAAGCTCAGTGGACGGAAGGGTGAGCCAGTAATTATCACAGAACCTCTGACACGTGGGCCGCTTGCCTGTGCTGTGGTGCAGCGCTGGCACTTTAAATAGATGAGTTTTAGTCCAGTGCCTTACCTCGACTTTGCATTTACTCTGTAAGAGACTTGGGGTTTTTTAAGTGTTTTTCAGTTTCTTCCCTTGTTATTTGATTTGTTTATTTATTTCAGAATTGGGCAAAACAAAACTACAGCCAGGGACCCCACAGTCTGCTTCTACTCCCACACCAAATGTTCCCGGCCCCTATGGAGCCTGGGGTTTCCATGGAGAGGCTCAGGGATAGCCTCGTTTACCAGCCAGAGGAATTACAGATACTCAGCCTCCTGGAAGGGGCTTGAGAAACCAGCGTGCGCTGCCGGGTTTTCCGTTGTGTGCGAGCAGACACGGTTCAGAGACCTACCTCCCTGAAGGGCCCCATCTGTTTCCATTGCTCATATTTTCGGCTTTTGTAGTCTGTGTTAGACTCTCCTGTCATATTTTGTTTGAAGAGAATGTTGTGTTGAAAAAAATTCAGCTTAAAAATCACACTTCAATAAATCGAAGGCCTCATTATTTGGCTCCCAAATTCCAGCACATGGGGAATCCAAGGATGAGGGAATGAACTTCTCATAAAACAGTTTTTTCTCTTGAATTCTAGAACAGATCAATTTTATTTGTCTATTTAGGTGTGTTTTTAGAAGTCCAGCCATCATTATTGCACGTATGAATATTTTAATATCTTTGCTTACATAAAATGTTGACATCCCTTTGTCAGCCCCTCAGTGTTACGTCTGAAATTGTATCAGTTGAGAAATCTAAAGGTTTAGGAACCACTGGAACATGTGAAAAGTGTACGTAGACCTGATCCTGCGGAGAGCACTGTTGTGTTTTGCCGGCCTGTGTTCCCGTGTTCCAGTGTTCCAGAGTGTTCCGGAGCAGACGCTCCCAGCCAGTGCATTTGTCCTTCGAGTACCTGAGGGCTCCCACACACAGCCCCAGGCGCACAGGCAGCCCAGGAAGCAGTTTTCCTTTGAATCACCCTTGATTCAGTGCTCGGGAGGGGGAGACCTTCAAGGCAATAATCACGATCAAGTGCTGCTCCCGAGTATTGAGTTGAGAAGCTCGCGTGTGCCATCACTGAGGACTGGGAAAGCTTCTTTCTCACTCTCGGTCTTGTAAATGTCTTATTATTTTGAAGCAAAACGCATCAAACATGTAGACTTTTTACGGTGCGGTAATTAGTAGTTAATAAACAGTAATTATTTTTGTAAATTTTTTTTTAAAGTTTATTCATTTTTTATAAAGAGAGAGAGAACAAACACAAGCAGGGGCAGGAACAGAGAAAGAGGGGGACACAGAATCCAAAGCAGACTCCAGGCTCTGAGCTGTCAGCACAGAGCCCGATGTGGGGCTCGAACCCACGAACTGTGAGATCATGATCTGAGCCAAAGTCGGATGCTCAACCGACCGAGCCACCCAGGTGCCCCAATAAATAGTAATTATTAAAGGAAGTGATGCATTTGTTCAGGAGTCTTGACAGTAAGGAAATTCAGTTGTATTTCTCTTTGTGCTGATGTTCCTTTCATTTTTTTTCTTGTGAAAGATTTTTTGTTTTTTTGTCACAGATACTATCAGTATTCTTAATTTAAAACTTATTAGAGTCTTATTAACATTTAATTCAATTTGAGTGGTATTTTTGTATTTCTATTAAGTTTTTAAATTGTATAAAATATTTGAAGTAAGGTGCTAGCTTTTTTTTTTTGTTTTTGATTCTGTATTGGAATGTCTTGAAAAATCAGCAGCTTTGTAAATGGCGATATTAAAGCATAATAGACCGAAATTGTATATTAAATGTACTTTAATATTTCTCTTAGATTAACCTCAGATACACATAAGATATTGGCATTGGAAATGATTGAGTATTGAGTTGAGAAGCTTGGTTAAATGTCGGTGTGTCAGCTATACTGTTATTGAGAGTACTGGTTGAAAAGATATTTTGGGATATTAGTTAATGGTACCCAAATCATTAAGGTTGAGTATTTTTAATGTGCAAATAGGCCTCTGTGTGTTCCTTTTAGAGAAAGACCAAAAATGATTTGTAAAATAATTGTTTTGGCTTTTATCATTACCTAACAACACATTCATGATGGAGTTCAAAGGTACTAGCTTAGTTTAGGCAACAGAAGTTAAATATCAGTTTAAAAATTTTAAACAGAGTTGTTGAAAACCACTATCCTTTAATAAGAAGTTTAATTTTTCCTCTGGATGACCTAAAGAGCATTCGTGTCATAATTGTCGCAGAAGCAGAAATGTTCCACGGACCTACCACTTGGGTGCATTTCAGTCTCAGGATTGCCAAAGGCTGTGATGCCAGAAGAGATCTTTACTGATTGCTCAGTGCATTCATCTGTCTTTTTAAATGTTTGAACCCATGTTCGTGCTCTTTTTAAAAAGGATGTAGTCTTCAGTTATTACCCCACCACAGAGGAGAAACTGAAAAAACAAAAAAACAAAAAACACTGATTATTATTAGTCAAACACTGGTCTAAACATCTTACGGATTTTGACTCACATAATACTGATAATGATGTGAGATAGTCATTCCTATCTGGTGGAGAAGGAAACCGAAGCACAGACGAATTAAATGATTTGCTCAAGGCTAAACAGTTAACAAATGGAGCCAAGATTTTAACGTGGGTAGTATGAAGAAACAAAAATCATCCTTCATGTATCAGTTTTGGGGAGCGAGAAGTCCCACCTCTTTGTTACTAGTTCAGGCAATAAAATAACGTTGACCCTTAGGAGAAAAGAGTCTTAAGTAGACTTCTGTGAGCACTTGTAATGTAAACTATTGTCCCCTACTTTTAACCGCTTCTGACTAAACTTAACGTATTTTTCCCCTAAACCTGCAGGACTATCGAAAACAGAAAAAAAAGTGAAATTGGAAGAAAAAAGCTCAACAGCATTTGGTATGAACAGAAAGTAATCTTTAAGCAAAAGACTATAGATGGCTTGGCAGCGGGAGGACGTAGTCTGTCCCCTACTTTTTACCTGTTAGTGCTCCTTTAGGTGTCAGTGACCATCCGGGTTCGTATTTATCAGTGCTGTTCAGTTCCACATACGTATTTCTTAAACACATATTTTCATAGTATAATGTGTATTTTTTGTTGACGGAGTCGAAGGCTTCCTCTGAGAATTTTGTGTTTCTGAACATCTTTGTAGGATGGCTCTTTAAAAATAAGCCACTGTCTAATATTGTTGGGACTTAGGGCATGGATGGTAAATTAAGAGAGTCATTTTTCTCAGACTTTCTTCTTTAACTGACCTTATAAAAATGTCAGTGAGTTTTCTGCTTTCTTTTCTGTCTTCTGTGCTATAATAATGAAACATTTTACAGTAATGGATGATAGTCTTAAATATTCTGTAGATTAGCCAGCTGGAGTTGGGTCCCTGAGAGTGGATTAAATATGTTTCATAAATTGTAGGCTCCATCATTCTGATTTGGAACAGTAGTTGAGTATATGTGATGAGTCAGTTTTAAGTAGAATACCCTAGGATATTGCTTTCACATCCATTCCTTTTTTTTTAAAGTACACGTGAATGGGAAGAAGGGTATTTTAAACTTTGGGGGAAAAATCAGTTTAATTAAGTAAGTTTTTGCTCTGTGTTCCTAGCCTTCATTGTACACACTGGGAAGTATTGGAAGACTGAAGGATTTACTTACGGATTGATCTAGTTTTTTATTTTTCCAAAGGAAAGAATTTCATTACATTCTTTTTAAAATCTGATCTAATTTCTCGTTAAATTCTCCGTGGAAATGCTGAGTCTCCTCAGTCAAGTCTTTCTTAAATTATGGAATTTCTTTCTTGCCACATCAGGGAACTGAGTATATTACTCATTTAATATTTTAACTACTGTCTGTGTTAACTTCAAGGTGTCAGGAGTTGGGATTTCTCAACACTGCTAATGAAGACCCCCTCTTAGAGCCCAGTAAGCTAATCAGGAGTTCCAGACCCATGACAGGAACAGTTTAATTGAATCCATCCACTGGGCAGGTGACTGGAATAGCTGATTAAAACATAAATGCTGCTTTTAGGTTAACCACAGAGCAACGACTCAAGATCAGTCACGATGGCTAACTTTGTCACTCCTGTCATGTAGGTAAGAGAAGAGAGAAGGATAAGGAAAGAAAAGAGAAGAAAGACAAAGATCACTACAAACCAAAACAGAAGAAGAAAAAGAAAAAGAAAAAGAAATCCAAGCAGCATGGTAAGTACGCTAAAATGGTGATTACTGTGTCTTAAAATTCTCAGATTCTGTCGCTTTTTCTGTGTTCTTCCACCAAAATGGAGATAGGACAAGATCCTCATATTGTTGAGGACCTGGGAAGTCCCTGTAGATTGTCTTTGGCTTTTGCCAGTTTTGAAAATCTGTAACAGTGTTCACTGTAGTCTGTGAATTAGTCCATCTGTACACCAGTCATCACAGCCGATTAGAGATTCTCATTTCCGGCATTATGGGGGACTAGATACCCTTGTCAAGTATGCTTCAGTATACTGAAGGAATTATTTTCAGTCGAGAATTACAATCCCTAGAATTAGCTTTCAAAAGTGAGGATTAAATAAAGCCATTTGTAGAAACAGTTGAAAAAATGATTTTTATTATCAATAGCCTGTCTAAAGGATATCTTCTTAATCCTGTACTTGAAGGCTGAAGGAAAATGATGACAAAGGAGGGTTTGAGATGTCGGAAGAAATGATAAGCAAAGAAAATGTAAATACGTGAATAAACCTGAACACTGATTATATAAGTCATTTTGAGTTGTGGGCAGAAACAACAAAATGTTAGGGAACAGAAATGTGTAGCAATAATAACAGCTTTTAAATTGAGAGGGGCATATGTGTATTTCAGTGTTTTAACGGTCTTGTTTTGGAAGAGGAAAAGAAAGAAATGTATTGCTTGAAGACTCCAACAGGTTAAATCTGCAGTGTAGAATTGCTAATATGAATACTAAAAGAATGGAAACATGGGGTATAATTTCCAGAGTAACAGTAAGAAAATGTAATGAAAAACCCATCCAAAGGAAGGTGATACAAAAAGAAAAGCATCAAAGAAGAAAAATACAAATTACAAAATAGAACAGTAGACATAAATCCAAATATATCCATAATTATAGTGAGAGAGATGATCATAATTGATTTAAAAAATCCAGTTAAAGGTTATTTTTAACAGACCAATCTAAATATAGGAATAGAGAGGACAGCAATGTTGGGGGTGGGGGGAAAGCATGGGAAAAAATGTGAGCAAATACAAACCCAGGGGAAAGTTGGAGTAGATGCATTCATGTCAAAGAAAGTAGTCATTAAAGGAAAAATCATTTCTAGAGATAGGCGACTATGTAATGGGAAATGTTCAATTCACTTTATATCTTTCTAGATGTAAAATTTCCACATTTTATTGCTGAATAAATTCATCATATCTCTCGTAGTAATTAATGAACAAAACTCAAAAGTATTCTGTAAGGAAAACAAAGGTGGTGGCAGCACAGGTGACCTCACAGTCCCTGTCAGGGACGCTGAACTCAGCAGCTGCAGAGCAGAAGGGTTTTCTCAGTCGCCAGCATGTATTAAAGATGACTGCCGACAGCCCTGAGCAGATGTCTGCGCTCTCTAGAGATGGGGTGACGCAGACTACGCTTTCTGACTGCGGTAGAGTTAAGTCAGTGTTAAAATGATAACTAGAAAAACCTCGTATGTTTAGAAATCATGCCACACATTTTTAAATAATTCATGGATCAGAGAATGGTATCAGAAGGAAGGGGAGATGTTAAGAACTCACGAGACGATGAAATTACATATCGACACTTGAGAATGTGGTTAAGATGGCACTTTTAGAAGAATATGTATTGTCATAGATATTTTTATTAGAAAAGAAGGCTGAAAGTCAACTAAGCCTTTAGCTTAAGAAGTCAGACATGAGCAGGTTCAAAACAAGTACTAGTAAATAAACATTCGAGTAGAAATTAGTGAACTACAAATAAAATTCTAGAAAGAAATAAAAAATGCCAAAATTAATTGATTACAAACTGATAGAATGAGCAAACCACTGGGAACACTGGTTAAGGAAGAAAGACAAAATGCACAAATAAGTGAGATTAGAAACCAAAGGGAATAGAACTACAGATGTTCCAGACCTAAAACGAAGAAAATATAAACAACTTTATGCAGTGAACTTGAGAGGTGTCAACCTGAATAGTCCTCAAACCTGAAAAGAAATTTAATTAGTATTTTAAAATCTTGCCACAAAGAAAAAGCCCTGACCCAAAAAGTTTTGTTGCCAATTTTTACCAACTGTTAAAGGAATAGATTATTCCAAACTTACATAAATTATTTCAGAATTTAAAAAAAGAGAGAACATTCCTTTAGTAGGGAGAAAAGTGTCCCTTGAAAATCTATGTCTAACTCTCGGTCCTTGTACCTGTGAATGTGACTGTATTTAGAAGTAAGATCTCTGCCGATGTGATTAAGAATGAGATAGTCTGGGGGCGCCTGGGTGGCTCAGTCGGTTGAGCGTCCGACTTCGGCTCAGGTCATGATCTCACGGTCCGTGAGTTTGAGCCCCGCGTCAGGCTCTGTTCTGGCAGCTCGGAGCCTGGAGCCTTCTTCAGACTCTGTGTCTCCCTCTCCCTCTGGCCCTCCCCCGTTCATGCTGTGTCTCTCTGTCTCAAAAATAAACATTAAAAAAAAAAAAAAAAGAATGAGATAGTCTGGGGGGCTCCTGGGTGGCTCAGTCATTTAGGCGTCCGACTTCAGCTCAGGTCATGAGCTCACGGTTGGTGGGTTCGAGCCCCCTGTTGGGCTCTGCGCTGACAGCTCAGAGCCTGAAACCTGCTTTGGATTCGGTGTCTCCCTCTCTCTGCCCCTCCCCCACTCACACTCTGTCTCTTTCTGTCTCTTGAAAATAAATAAATGTTAAAAAAAAAATTAAAAAAAAATAAAAGAATGAGATCATCTGGGATTTGAGTGGATACTAGAGCCAATGAAAAGGAGGGGGAGATTTGGAACCCACAGGGGAGAAGGCTGTGTGAGGACACAGGCAGCGATCGGAGTGATGCCGTCCCAAGCCAGGGCACTCGAGCCACCAGACACCGCAAGAGGCAAGGAAGGATTTGCCCCTAGATACTTGTGAGGGAGAGGGCCCTGTTGACACTGAATTTTTTACTTCTGGCCTTCAGAACTATGACAGAATAAACTTCTGTTGTTCTGATCCACCAAGTTTGTGATAATTTGTTGGAGCAGCCCTAGGAAACTAATACAACTCCGAATTCATTTTAGATTATTTAAATAACTTGGCTCAAAATCAGAAGAGAACAGTATGGGAAAGCTCAGTTCTAGGCATTTCTCATTTGTGGACATAGATACAGAACTCACGAGCAAATGTTATGGAATTAAGTCCAGCAATGTATTAAAACCTATGACCACATAGGGTTGGAATGCACAGTTGGTTTGACATTAGAAAATCCATTGGTGAAATTCACCACAGTAACAGTTGAAGGACAAGAAACATTACTGTCTTTCTATATGTAGAAAAACCATTTGATACATCCATGTGTCCTTACACTTAGCAAAAAAAGTTACGACTAGCTGATTATAAAACTTTATTTAGAAACATTAAAGAAGGACTAAATACATGGGAGATAATTCACGTTCATTGGTTAGTAGATTCAATATTGAGAAGATGTCACTTCATGCTAAATAAATTTACAGGTCCAGTGCTGATTTTAAAACTTAACAGTGGTAAAGAGCCTAAAATAAAATAGCCAATCTTGAAGAAGAATGAAGAGAAGAATTACCATTTCACAATAGTTTAAGGCAGTGAGGCATTGGGAAAGAATAGACGTATTGATTAAGGACAGGCTAATCCAAAACATGTACAAATATAAAACCTTGGTTTGTACAGAGCTGGCATTCTTAGATTAGATAAAGGGTGAGCTTTTCAGTGATTGGTATGAGAACAGTTTTACTCCCTAAAAATGAAATTGGACTGCTACTTAACACCGTACCCAGAAATCAGTTCCAGGATGATTAACGATGAAATGTGTGGAAGACAAAACTGTAAACCTTTGAAAGGCAGTATAGGAAAGCATCTTTATGATCTTTGAGTAGGGAAGGATTTCTAAACAAAAAGTTCTAATCTTAAAGAAAGGGGTTGAAAATTTGACTAGACTGAGATTGGCGGGTTACACTTGAGAGGGGTCCAGCGACAACTAGATAAAGCAGAAAAAAGGATCCATGAACTCAAAGACAGAGCAGCAGAACTCATCCAGTCAGAGCAGCAAAAAGAAAAAATGAAAACAAGTTACAATAGATTAAGGGGCTATGGGACAACATCAAATGGACTAACCTTTACCTTATGGGGGTCCCAGAAGGTGAAAAGATAATTCATGCAAATGGAAATCAGAAGAAAGCTGGAGTAGTTATATTCCTATCAGACAAAATAGACTTGAAAACAGGCAGTAATAAGAGGCAGAGATAGGTGCCACATAGTGATAAAGGGGTCAGTCCAACAGAAGGATACGAAATTCATACATACTTATGCACCCTACATAGGAGCACCTAAATACAGAAGGCAGCTATTGCCAGATCTAAAGGGAGAAGTACACAGCAATACAATAATAGTAGGGTATTTTTAACATTGCACTTCTATCAATGGATAGATCATCCAGACTGAAAATCAACAAGGAAACCACCTTAAATGACATGTTAGATCAGATGGACTTAACAGATATATTAGAACATTCTGTCCCAAAGGAGCAGATAACAAATTCTTCTCAAGTGAACGTGGAACATTTTCCAGGTTAGATTATATGTTAGGCCACAAAAGAAATCTTAATAAATTCAAGGGGATTTAAATCCTATCAAGCATCTTTTCTGATCACGATAAATAGTATGAAACTAGAAATTAATTAAATGGAGAAAACTGGGAACTTCACAAATATGTGGAGATTAGACTACATACTCCTGAACAATCAGGGAGTCAAAGAAGAAATCAAAAGAGAAATAAAATGCCTCAAGACAAATGAAAATGAAAATACGCCAAAATTTGTGAGCTATAGCAAAAACAATTAAAAAAAATTTTTTTTAATGTTTATTTATTTTTGAGAGAGAGAGCATGAGCAGGGGAGGGGCAGAGAGAGAGGGAGACACAGAATCTGAGGCAGGCTCCAAGCTGTCAGCATGGAGCCTGGTGCGGGGCTTGAACTCATGAAC